GGTTCAGTATCTAATAAAAAAGGTCTATGTCCAATCTTTGTTTTAACTAGTAATGATGATATATGTATAATGAACAAGGTTACATTTTAAAACCTTTAGTTTTTGATGACATTAATTTAATTGGCGAAAACCGCATTCAAGATTAAGGTGACCGTCTTACCCAATCTTTGTTTATATAATTTTACTAACTTCTCTTTCATCCACTGTGCCTTAAACATGTGAGTTGGAAACTTTATAGATGATTGTCAATATAATTCATCATCAGTAAATATGTATTACTATCAAAGATATCACAGTGTGAGCAAGTGCAACTTAATACTTAACGAGAAAACACTTTATTTCACATATAGTCTCCATCACTATGTTTTCGGTGCGTGATACTTTATTCTCAGTTATCACAAAACATCATTTTTTTTTTACACAGCATTTGATATTTTGCATTTAGCACTGATATGTATTTTTTCTCTACGTATATACTATCACTCTTAAAAGTTTCCGTATAGTTTAGGCTTAAAGTGACTGTTTAGGACATTTAATGTGTAGACTCAATTTAATAGATCGTTTACGTGATGTTGCCTCCTGCTGTGTTTATATATTAAATAGATTCTTATAAACAAACGATTTCGTACGTTTTTGCTTTGCCTAATTTATGTTGATATTACATTATAATACGTTATAAGTACCAATATATCCCTATAATGTAGCACGTAATACAATCACACGGATATCTGTGCATCAAAGAAAGGTTCATGGTTCAGAAACATTCACATAGAGTTGTTGTTCAATAGTTATTTCAAGTACTAGTGATCATTTCATGGTATTGTAAGAACACAACTGAACGTGTACTTGCATACTTTTGTTTGACAAGCAAAACTTTTGAAACTTACGCAACAGTAAAGCAGTTCGAAGTTAATCACATACGTAGTAAGTGTTAACGTTCTTCAAAGAGCTTATGTTGGCGAGAATAGTGCAGACTATTTACCGGAAAATGTGCTAAGAACAGAGGATCTAAGCTGTAATAAAACTAATGGATTTGCTAGCGCTAGACAAAGACAATAGAGAAAGACTAGAGCAAAGCCCTCAGTCTTGTCTGTGAGCACGCTCACTTCTCTAGCGGATCATGAGTAAGCAGCCTGGGCGACAAATTCGCTGGATCGAGAAGCAGAAAAGGAGATCTTTTAGAAACAGAAATCAATACAGATAAAGACCTCGCCAAATGCAATAAATGTGTAAGTTTCTGTAAAAGCTCAAATGAAAGGTCACGTGACTATAGAGTATTGAAAATTCTTGTTTTTCTTCCGTTCCTCACTTTTTTGTGGGTGTTTTGCCCTTTCACCTCAGACTTGATAACTATAAGTAGAAGACTGACATAGAGTACATAAATGAACGAACCACGTGAAGATTTTGAGATTTTAAACTACTTATTTATCAGAATTACATATTGGATAACTATTGAAAATCTAATTTGAATTGTGAAATAGATGTTCAGTTTCTAAAGTGTCAAAACATAAACATAAGTTACTTTCTTAACATTATCATTTAAACAACAAGTAAATTTCGACGTTACTTTCTATCAGTTTAAGCCCCACCCCCAAGAAAAAAATGGACTGAATTATTTATGACTTTTATAAGTATGCCAATTGTTATGAGAAATCACTAAAAAAACAAAAATATACCATGAATTGTTATGCTATTATTTTCAATTTATCACTAGAAAGAAAAGTAAAAATATACCCTGAATTTATGCTATTATTTTCAGTTTATTTGTAACTGTAACATATTTACTCTGAACCCATTTCCCAAGTAGTGTTGAATCAGTACCATAACAAAACCATTTGCTACAAATATATATTTACAAAATTATACAGATATATATACACACACATACATGTCTACACAGTTTTACAAAGATGTATGTATATTGGTCGAACGTAGCACAGAAATATGAATGAATAATACAGTGGAATTATGATCCTTCAGCAATATCACATGGTTACGTCAACTGGTATCAAAATACATAGAAGTAGGCAGTCCTATTGGAGGGATTATTTTACCAACTAAGGTTTGTCGCTTTGCAAGAGTTTTCATGGCGATTAACTGGGTAAAAAAAGGGAAGTTAATTAGAAGTAATTAGATTGAATAAAATGTATGAAAAAATCAGTAGATTATAGTTTAATACGCTAGAAAATAAAACTATGTTCGATTATTTTACTCTCATGAAACTACGTTAATTGGGCTGTCAATTGATGGTTCAGTGGTAGTTTTGTGATAAAAACAAACAAATTATTCGGGCTAGAGGATCACAACATCTATTAGAACAAATCTAGAAATTATGGTTCCGTTTGTATATTTTATGCATAATCCTTAAATTTCAAAATCAAACATCTGAATGAATCGGTGGACATCTTGAGGTAATTATACACATATATATGTATTATGGACTTAGCTGGTGCATTTAAACATTTTCAAAACATTTAATGACAGTATGTAAACTATGATTTACGAAAATCATAATCATTCTTTTCTAACGTATAGCTTTTATACTGCCTTGACCCCTGCGATATCTATGTTAGCGCGTTTTGTTGAGCAAGGATATTTAAACCAATATAACGTTGTCTGGGCATCATGGGAAAAGTATTTTTATCAATTATACGAAACTGTACTGAGTGTAGTTTAAACGACAGTAACTTTCTGTGGTGTATTTGCCGATTAACCACAGTTTTCAGTAACTGGTTATCTGTGAGAGTGGAATGAAGTTGTCACTGTTCATTGGGAACTTCACCTTTCTTCCATTCACTGTTAATGACACATACTACGATCCCAATTAGTTTAACATTGGAGTGGGTTTACTTACTGGCCCTGCCTTTTGATAACCTGGGTTTGGCCCTGCTTGACATTGATTATGATAGTTAAACTAAAAAGGATCTACTTCCATGGCTAATTAGTGATTTTTCTCATCTATTTGTTTGAAGGTAATCTTGACTTTTCTCCAGATTTCTTTGTTGGCATTTCCTTGGCGAATGCTTTGTGGTAGTTCACATATGTAATACTAACCATTGTTGGTAGTCTGTGATGTTATTCCAGGGTTTGTATAATATAAAGTGAACTGATGAGGTAGTTATCAGTGTTGAAGCAGGCACGGATCCTTACCTTTCTGTGCCTAAAAAGTATTTCGTAAATACAGTTCAAATTAAGCAGAATAAAGCAGCATACGAATCTATCAAACAACTTTAAACTGGTTCCCTACTGAGTGATGTGAGAAAAAGACCTATAAGAAATTGGACTCATTACGTTTATATATGACACATTTGATCAAAAAATAACCTGATTTATAGGTATTTTTGTAAATATAGTCAGCGTTACTAGTGGTCATCGTTTTGTTCATAATATACACAGTGTTAGTATCATACAATAATTTGTTACAATTACTTTTTCTCAGCAGTTTTTCATAGAATTTGATATAAAAGATAAATACTGAAACCTGAAGATATATACTGTATACGTTTGACTGTATGCAATAAATAATACTTTCAGAAATTATTTCATTTGCAAGTTTTGGATCATACTGAATTTTGTTTCTCTGAATTTGAAAGTATTGTATTTTACTCACGCAATTTATGAAACACACCGGAACATTATACAGCATAAGTTGGTTGTACATCTATAACATAAAACAGAACATTATATAGCATAAGTTGGTTGAACATCTATAACACAAAACAGAACATTATATA